GATTATACAAAAATAATCAATAGTTGAGATTATTATCAGCGGACCGTCAATAGTTGGGTTTATTAATTTCAATTTTTCCTATTTTTTTATCATATTGTGGATATTAATCGTGTTCTTGAAGATGATCCTTGATTGTTTGAGTAATTTATTATTCCTTAAGGAAGTTAGGCCAGATGACATACCTCATAAAATGAAATTGTGTGAGGCAGAGTTCTAGGTTTATGTTCATAATGATGCCATATAGTTTTGTGAATTTAGGAACTGCTAGGAGGCTTGGAAACTATATTGGTCGGTTTATTAGTTATGATGAGAGCCAGTTTGAAGAAAAGTTGGAGTCTTATATGAGAATCAGGGTGAGTATGGATGTTGGGAAACCTCTGAAAAAGGTCTCTACTCTTAAGAAAGGTGGTACTGACATTGGATGGATTTCAAATATGAAAAACTCCCTAATTTTTGCTTTGTTTGTGGGGTGATTGGACATTCTGATAAATTTTGTCCCTTAAAATATGAGGATGATATAATCATTTGGAGTAGAGCTTCGAGCTGACGAAGAGGTGACGACTAGCCCTATAGGGGAAATAAGTGGTTAGGGGAAAATTTCTCAAGTTCAAGGGTGGCTAGACGTAGATAAGGATGGTTAAGGGACAGGGGGACAAGGTGGGCGACAGTCCACAACGGGTACAGATAATAGTGTTACCAAAGAAGGAGAAGTGGGTAATATTGAGGAAGTGTCGGTGGACCAAAAGCGCAGAAGGATTTGGGAAGAGCAGTCACAGGAGGATCCATTAGGCGAGAACATGTCACTGGATAACCCAAAAAAACGGGGAGGCTGCGGGTCCGAGCTTCTAGACCTGCCGGAAGTGCATTTGGTTTTTCTGCTCAAGAAAACAGAGTTTAATTTTTATTTTTTGCTGCTTTGCATTTTAATTCCCACGTTGAGGTTGTTCTTCTTTGTTTTTATTTCATTTACTGCTATAAGACTCTTGCATTAGGATTGAGTGATGAGAGGTATGCGGTAACCGTCTTTGGCTTAATTATGTCCAAGTTAGGATCAACGAGTTATATTGCTTTGTCAAAGGTGATTAACCTTAATTCTGGTTCAAGAGCTGATGGTTACATGTGATGCTTTTGTTGTTTCAACCCCTATCTGAATGTTGTGATATCAATCTAAGCCCCCTTCTTCCAAAAAAGAATGATATATTAGGTTTGGCACATTATTTAAGATATAATTAATAGGGGTAATGAATAGTGTTGAAAAAGCATGAGAGATGGTGTAAAGAATGAAAGAGGAGATAAAAGCAGGAAAATTAAGAGTAAACTTACCAAAAATTGAAGTATAGCAAACTTTTAAATACATCCGAAAAAGGAAAGTGTTGCTAACATTAAAACTACGGATATGTATTTATTATTGATTTGATAATTAAGTAAGAATAATTTAGAGTCATATCTTCTTTGTCCCAAATTGAGTTAGAAAATTGATTTTCTTATCAAACAAATCATTTTATTTACTTAATTAGAATATCAATTATTACGTATTAATTAATTTTGGTTTGGATTTTGCAAATTTATAGATATTTTAGCATGTAAATTTTAATTATTAAATTGAAATTATTAAAATTTAAATTAAAAATCAATAGGGAGAATTTAACTTTAAAATTGGTTAACTAATTTTTTTTTATTTTGCGAAACAATTTGTGACATAGGTAATACAAACTTTACCAAATTTAGAGCACCCCATTGCAAAAGTGTGCATATACATGTGTCATGAAAGAGTCAAATACATAAAATTAAGTTAATGAAATTTCTCTTTTTTTACTTGGTAAACAAAAGATCAAAATCAGTGGGATAAATGATGAAAAACATTTACCAACTAATCTTTGGGCTGAACCCAGCAGAGTCTTTGCTACATGGTGAACGGCCCAATTGGCCTCCCTCCAAGTATGTGTGATCGTGAGTCCATGTCTGGTGTGAATTAGGAATCCATAATCCACTTCTCATCAATATCATGAGAGATAACACTCTGAGCATCCGTTTTAATCCGGCTTCAATAATCGATTATGTCGCCTTTGTTACTGTTATTAGCTCTGCCTCTTCTTTCTTTCCACATTTTATATATTTTTGATAATTTTTTCAAATAATATCAATCACAATGTCAATATCACTACATCAGGGCACTTTTCTTGACAATGAAGAAAAACATACCAAAAACATATAATATATTTCAAATAAGAAGAGAGATATATTGCTTACTAATATTTGTGTGTCTATATCTCTTATATATGTCACACGTACACCGTGCATATTTTGACATTGGAGATACTCTTAGTACGTAGTATGAGACAATTTTAATAGGGCAAATCAAAAAGTAAAGACAAGAAAATCTTAGCAGAACGAATGGAACACGTCATATACATACATCATTAAAAAGTTGCAACGAATGGAACACGTCATATACATACATCATTAAAAAGTTGCTCATGTCACAAGTCACTTACTCCGTATTTACTTGCATCACACATGTGGAGACTAATGGCCATCTGGCCATGTGAGCTATCATATTGTTTAGCTTATACTATCGTATTGTTTTAGAGATATTACCCAAAATGGGACTAAAAAAGTTTGAAAATTCCAAAATAGGACTTCCATGTTTTTATTCCCAAAATAGGACTAATTACTGTCATGTTTTGGCAGTACCAGACTTCAAACATGGCAATATTTTCCAAATTTGGCAGTAATTAGTCCTATTTTGTTAATAAAAACATGACAGTCCTATTTTGGAATTTTCGAACTTTTTTAGTCCCATTTTGGGAACTTTCCCATTGTTTTACGAACTGGACCAAGAAGCGACCCGACCAAACTTTTCTAAATGTCCCTTAGTCCGATCAACCATTTTATATCTTGCAAAGGAGATTCCTTTTGTACGTAAAGGAAGGACTCAACACATTTCTTCACAGAAAAACAATACCGTTCTTATTTGAGTAACAAAGCGTAATTACAGTTTGCCAACTATTGGTATTACAAAAATCTCCAGATCTGAATATAACTAATGAGTATGGTATAGTGTGTTTTCTTATGGTCCAGAGAAGTTATGCAAATCGCAATTAGTCTGTTAAGCTGAGTTTGCACACCGAAAAAATCCACGGTCCTTAAGCATCAATGTCCACCTGGATTCTTTATAAGAGCATCTCCAATGCTCGTGGTGGATTGGGGTTGAGGTTTCAAATAAATGGAAAGGGTGTATTGAATTTGTGAGCTCAAAGTAATCAAATGGAGAGGGTCTATTAACACCATACTCCAATGCGGAATAACTTATAGTGAGCTCAAAAAACAACTATTGGTATAACTTATAGTGACTAATAGTAATAATAGGGGGGCCGACTGTGGTCTTGTTAAGCTGTGAAGTACATGTGGTTAACCCAAGCCTTATGCTAAAATTAATGGTAGTACAGGTTGTACATGTTCCCACATCGGCACATTCCACAATCCACATTATAGAATGCTGATTAATGACGATGAACACTTAGAAGGGTCCATTTGCCACCTGAAAAAATGGCTTTATTAATATTAATGCAACCTCTACAAATTCATTTTGGTATTTGTTCAAACTAATTTTATTTAAAACCTATAAAAAGAACCATGATATATACTATCGTATTAGAAACCTTAATCGCAATTTTTTCTTTATAAATCACATGCAAAAGTCACACAAATGAGATGGCAGCTGAATCAGTTTCTATGTTTACTTAATTAATTAAATTATTAGTTTCGGAAATACAGCTGAATCAGTGAACGAAGAATCGAGTTTTCAATAGGGGCATAGCGGGTAGTTGCCAAATCAATTCGTAATAATTCTGATGATGTAACAATAGGGGCATAGGGGATTATTTTTCGCACCGCCCGGTCCAAAAAAATTGGTTGGCCCGGTCCAAACCGTTATTCCCGGGTCTTGGCCATTTCCGGGTACCCGCCCAGTCTGTCTAGTCCGGGTCCCAGACCCAGTTCCCGTTTTTTCATAGTTATTTGGCCATACTGAAGCCCAAAAAACGGGTCGGCACCGAAACTGGGACCGGTACCGCCCTGTTCGGTCCACAAAATTGTAAATTGGGACCGTGAGCCGCGACTGCTCTGGGGCGGACATGTTCGGTGCCATGCCCAAAACCACTCTAAATGGACCCAGACTAGTCCCAAACAATGCCGGACCCGGTTCCAGACTGCTGGATCGAGTCCACTCCTAACATGAACCATTAAGACAACTCCGATGGATAGGTGGATTGTCAAAAAATGCTATCCCCATCACCAAATGGACCCTTTATGAGAAGATGTACTACTCTACTATGCAAAAGAAATGAGCGAAGTCCATCGTTGTTGGCAATGCACATGGTCCAACGGCATGTCTACTTTGAGACATTCGATCTCACCCATCCTCACCTTCATAGCTCTCCCTTCCGCATAGTTCTCCAACGGCAGGTCTACTTTGAATCTTTGATATTTCAATAATTGGTTTTACATTGAATATGTCTCCCTTCCGCATTGGAGTAGGGTGTTAATAGACCCTCTCCATTTGATTACTTTGAGCTCACTAATAGACACCTTTTCCATTTATTTGAAACCTCAACATCAATCCACCACGAGTATTGAAGATGCTCTTATAAAGAATCCAGGTGGACCTTGATGCTTTCGGACCATGGATTTTTAGGTGTGCAAAATCAGCATGACAGACACTATACACATTCTTAAAAAAGAGAACTCGTACAAGGTTATATGAATTATACTCTAGAGAATTTGTTTAAAATAGTTTCTGCAACCAGTAATGTAATTAATGGCTCTACCTAATAGGTTTGTTTAGTTAGAGGTTAGGGAGAGAAAATATCTGCCTCCCCCTTATGGGTTTAAATTTCGGTAAGTAGAGAGTGGAGTAGAGGACATAAATTTCTTCCTTCCTCCTCTCCCTAGCTTCGAACCAAACACATCCTAATCTTTATGACAATCAATGCACCATATTTTCAAAAGTTGTGAGCACCCCATAATTAAGCCAAGTTGGAATTACCAATTGCATTATACATTCATTCATGATTGATCTGAAAAAACATAAAACAGGATGATGAGTGAAACCCAAACTAAATGCAAGGCGAGCAAGACTCTTCCACCTCTTCAGTCTTCACTACACCGCAAATCATGCAGTGTTTAATACTAGTACTAAGGAATATCACAACCTTAATATCCTTCTAACACTGATCAAGTCAAGCTATTCTCTCAATCTATGTTAGCATTCATCCTTTCAATATGATTTCTTACAACGCGTTTTCAGATAGTTAAATGCACTTCTTAGGCAAATAGCTACCAAAGTTAGCTGCCAATTATATACTCAGATCACCAGGAACATGAATTAAGCCTGACCCAAATCACTTTCTCCAAACAATTCACCTTGATTGTATCTGTGTGGACCGTGTGGCTGAAGCCGCTGAACATTCTTAGTAAATTGAAGAATATATCAATCTGAATATGACATGATAAAGTAAAATAGTATGGATGCAATAGTTCTTAATGTTTTAAACAAAGTTTCTGAAAGATCTCCTTATCATGTGGAAGTCCTTATAGAGAAAACAAACATCATATACATGCACAGTCCAAATACCGGAAAACTGAACATAACAATTTATGAAATGATAACTTTATATGAAGCCAAGACAAAGCCAATTAGAAAGACGGTGAATAGAGAGAGAGAAACTGGGCATGGAACTAAAAATACACAGTTAAACTTATGAATAAGGCGATAATGACAGTAAAAAAGCAATCCTTGCAAAGAGAGTTAAAGGAAATGTCAAGAAAATATATTTATAGCTACAGGGGGGAACCTGGCCGATTGCAGTAAAGCTTTTAGTAGTCCTGCTCAATCCGTTGGATTATGAGACCTACTGCTGCATTTGCTGATGAGAATGCTCCATGAAAGCTCTCCTGATAGGATATAGATTCCAAATCTTTAGCCATCTTTAACAATATCTCACCTATATCGATCTCTTTCTCCATTAACGATTTGTAGAACGAACTTGAAGCAACCTTGCTAATTTCCACATTGGTGTCTTCAGGACAATATTCATCATCCAACCACTTGTTGAGAGTAACTCTCAGCCATTCTGACGCCTACATAATTTTAATGCTTTCCTCACTCAATTGATTCATATTGGAGAAGCAACTTAAAATTTCTACTAGTTTTGACTAGACCTGGGACTTAGAACAGTAAAACCGGGAAAACCAATCCGAAGTTCCGAACCAATATCACCAGTTCGGTTCTTGAAATTTTGGTCACTTATTGAAGGAAGAATTGCATGACTATATAATGGTATTTTCTCATGACCCTTGTACCTATTTTGAAATTAAATGATCAAAAAGTGCAGCTGAAACTGCGAACTAATTTTATTATTACTATTCTCAAGAGGTTGTTTGTCAAAAGATTAATCTTTTCTCTAAAGATTCTCATTTTGAATACTTACTTTGAATGAGATTTATATTATAGTGTATTGGCTTGAACTCATTAAACTTTGCATTTTAGTAATTTAAACAGTTTATATGTTTATTAGACATGCTTTGTAATTTCTGAACTCTTAATTCTTTGTCGAAGTTGTGAATTTATTTAACTTTAGATTTTTATTTCAGGTTTTTCTCATATGTATTAGAGGTTGTTTATCTTTATCCTTTTTGAACTATAAAGCCAGTGTGACTATAATCTCAGCCTTCAAAATTAGCTATGAGCTTTAAATATTGTGTTCATATCCGACTCTCTAATCAAACTGCAAATGGTATAAATAGACTATGATATGTTGTGTCATTGAAAAGTAATATAATAAAGCACTTGTTTGGCAATGTACTTTCGTCCATAAAATAAGTGAATTCCAAACCCTTAAGCCCCATAAGTAAAAATGCTTCCACATAGCTCTAGAGGGATAGTACATTGGTGTCTATTTTGCTCTCAGATTTAGATATTTCTTCTTACTTTATTAATGTGCAATATTAATTTATGAATATTTTTCAGAGTTAAATTTACCTGGTGTTGGGTGTGTTATGCTCGTTGCCTTGGAACCAAAAACCTCTTTACTAGGCACTTGCATGCAGGGGGCGGAGGTAGGGGGGCCAACAGCACTCAGGCTCACTCCAAATTTAAAATTTCTCTGTATTTTTAGTGTAAAAATTTATCTGAAAAAAATCTTTATACCAGCCCACCCCGAGCTTTGATCCTAGCTACGCCCCTGCTTGCATGCGTATTTCAAGATTTTCATTTATGAATTGAACTTATATGCCTTGTTTATTATTTTCTTAAGCTTGGAATTTTCATAGTATTTAGACATTGGATGTGTATGGTTATATCTTTGATGCTTCAGGAGTGGGATTTTGTGGAAGTCGAGTCTGACTCTTTATTGGCGGTTACTGAAATTCTCAAGGGGAATAGTATATCTTCGGGAGGTTTGTTGGCAGTGACATTCGGGAAATTAGCTCGGGGTTTAATAATATTACTTTTTCTTTTGTTAGACGTTCAGCGAACAACGTTGCTCGTGCATTAGCTAAGGAAGCATGTTCTTTATCTGATAGTCGTATTTGGGTGAAATCACCCCCGAGTTGTATTGAGAACGTTATGTACTTTGCACCCCGTTTTTTAAAAATTTTGTATTTGCACCCGAATCCCGTATGAAGAGAAAAAAATGTCCCTCCATCAACAATTTTGTTGACCTTCAACATATTCCTGATTGAGAGGCATTTTTTTTCTTTTCATACAGGGTGGGGTGCACATACAAAGTTTTTTAAAGACGGGTGTTAAGTCTAATTTGGACAATAAAATGAAGTGCAGACTCAAATTACCCCAACTAATAATCCCTAATTCTAGGCATTTTACAAAAATAATACTTACTGGAAAAGTTCACAACAATAATCCCAAACGGATAATTGTTTCACAAAAATAAACCGGAAGTTAATGGTGTTAACTTTTCCGTTTTTTTTAATTTAAAATAAAATGAAGCAAATATTTATAAAACCATTAATAATATTATGTTTTTGTTTTATCTAATTTCTACTATAAATTTAATTTAATAATAACTATGTTTTGTAAAATATAATAAAAATATTTGAACACATACTCGTATTCATTTTAGTAATATTTAATACAGAATTACTAAAATTAATTTTAAATCTCTATTATAATGAAATAGAAATGAATATAAATAAAATATTGATTAGAACTAAAAGAAAACAGAATTTGATGAGTAAGTTTTAAAATATTTCTATTACATTTTATGAAAAATAATGACTATTAAATTCAATTTATAATAAAAGTAAATATAAGAACAAATATACGAAGTATATAATATTGTTGATGCTTATACATATTTTTGCTTCAATATATTTAAAATGCAAAAAAAAAGTAAAACCGAAAGATTAACACCGTTAACTCCGGGTTTATTTGTGTGAAGGAGTTAAATAGTTCGGGTTATTGTTGTGAACTTTCCCTGTTGGGATTATTTTTGTAAAATGCATAAAAGTAGGAATTATTTATGTCAATTTCGCCAATATTTTTCAGTAATAATAGAGTTAATTTATCTTCATTTTAGGAGGATTACATGATAATTTAGGTTCATAAAAAGGTAAGAAACAAACCATTTTTACCTTGTTCAGTTCCAAAGTGGTTCTGCATTTTCTTTACTAGGACCAAACCTAATTTGAATATTAACTGGAACCTAACCTATACCAGGTCTAATTGGACAGATAATGAAAAAGGAAAAGAACGCAATTCACCTCTAAAGCCTTAGAAGGTTCCGACCAATGGATTGGAACCCTCAGTTCTTCAATTAAATCGTCCGTGACTTCATCTCCGCTGCTGTTCACGTTTAGAGGCGAGAACGATCGACGAAGACCTTTCTGGGTGTATACGACCGGGAAATTGAAGGCCGGAGCGAACGAGAATCCTCTGATTCGCGCTGTGCAACGAGCAGAATATTTTGCGAATAAACGGAAAGGATGATATGCTTTTACGTCTGTATTAGCCGATACCAATAATAGAGAAGCCATTGTTATCCTCGTGTACGGCATACACTTCATGCTTGTGGTCGGTATAGAGGCCAGCTTGTGTTGGGAAGTAATTGTTCATTTCATCAACTAAACAAATCTGCAGAGTGACAAAACTTAAAGTCCAAAATATATTTTTAACTTCTTAAATAAAATACTCCCTCCGATCTTTCCGTTCTTAGATGTAGTGGATTGTGCATAAAAGAAAAAGTAAAAAGATAAAACAGTAGGAAAGAGAATGAGAGTATACATCTATATTTATTGAAAAAACTTTTTAAAAATGAAAAGGGAGACATGAATTGGAGAATATATCAAAATGGAAAGAGAAACATATATTAGAGAACAGATGGAATATTAAATTTTATTTCATAAAAAAATATTAAATTTCATTAAAAAATAAACTTTGGGTTGTTTCCAAAGCGAAGGATGAGGTTCAATTTTTGAGGCATATCCTTCCACTTTCATTTTCCGACTAAACTCTGTCAGAAACAAGGCTATGTGACACTTTTTTATTCGTTCTGCCGCTTTCTTTACGTCGTTTAAACAAAAACTTTCAAAGTGAAAACACATATCTCACTTTATGAAAAAAATGAACCTCATGTCCCTATATAAATAACATATTATATCATTTGAACATATGACATGGACTTATATTATACTACCTCTGTCCCAAAATACATATTTTAAGTCAAATCTTAATATTTTGACGATCATTTTGATTAGTATAGTATTATGAAAGTTATAATTTCATACTTTTGTGAAAGTACTTTTAACAAAATACGTTTTTATATTATAAATAATTTCCAATAAAAATATATCGTTGATCAAGTTTAAAGATGACTAAATATTTTGGGATAGAGGTAGTATCTATTACTTCCTTTATTCTTTTTTAGTTGCAACAGTCAACCACTACACATTTGCCGACGTACACATTTGACCGTAAGCATCTTAATCTCTATTAATAAAAATATACTCCCTCCGTCCCGAAATAAATGTCCTGCTTTCATTTTTGGTCCGTCCCAAAATAAATGTCTCACTTCTTTAATTTCCTTATTTCGTAAACAAATCTATACCAAACAGTGTCAAATAGATAAAAACAGTGTCAAACAGTGTCGCGACAGTGTCAAACAGTGTGCGTTTGTTTCGGGATGGAGGGAGTATTAAAAATCAGATTTTGAAAATCTGTAATAAGATGAATTGAAAAATATTTTTTTAGAAAAATAATTTCCATAAATTAATAGTGTAAAATGTAGTCAAAGTAGATCATGTGAACAGTGCAAAAAGTCAACATGTTGCGATTTAAAAAACGGAGGAAGTAATATTAATGGATTTAAAAAATCTATGCACCATTTCGTTTCCATGTAAATATTTTATCTATTTGCATGATTTACTTTACATGCATGCGTTCAAATTTGTAAAATATATCATATTTTAGATGTTGGGGTATTAAAGGGTCAAGCTGATATGATAGAAAACCATTGCTACCGTTTTCAAGAACAGAAAGAACAAACATACAAACTTTAACTAAAAAATCTCAAAAACACATTACATAACTCTTCTTAGTTGTGTTTTAAGAAAATTAATCTAATATCTTATAATAAAATGATGATAGGAAATCTTTACAAACATCTTTATTTATAGGATCAAAGCTTCAATGGTGAGTGATGGAGTATATGGCCCAGGAACCCCGGTCCACAGACTCCTTGATATCTTACAAAGGCCCAACGAGCCCAAGAAGCACACTGGGCCCAAATATGGCGGTCCAAGTGGGCGAAGAGTCCAAAACGCACTCTGGGCTGCCCTCGGGTCTCCTTGGTCGAGGGCTCAAAATTACTCTAGGCACCCAGAATTAAGCTCACGAGACTTCTGGGAGAAAACGGCTCAAAAGGTAGCCCTCGGCTACCAGGAGCCCTCGGCACCCACTAGATGCCCTCGGCTACACGACACCCCTCGGCCACATGCAACTGGCCGCTGGTTCTGGAGCTCCACGAAGCTTCCTCTTGGGACAGGCAACCTCCGCATTAAATGCGGCGTCACATCCAACCACCGCATTAAATGCGGAGCACGTTCCTCTGCCGTTGCCACCCCGATTGAGCTGACCCTCAGCCGTCGGATGGCTGACACGTGTACACCTCCAGCATTTATGGCTACTATAAATAACAGCCCTTGTTCTCATTGTAGAAAAAAAACGACTTCTACGAGTCTAAAGCAATAAGAATAATACTCTCTCTCTCTATTTTTGTTCTGACTTCTCTCTAGTATTTCCCTCTCTATCCCTCGGATAAGACACCCCCCGGGTAAACTATCCATCATTTGGTGCTCTCGTTGAGAGGTCTGAGCTATCAAGTAAGAAACCCTCCCCCTCTGCCAAATACAAAACACTTACCTAAAAAATGGGAAGAACCACTCGTGCCCAATCCAAAACCCTGGAGGAGAACCACGTAGCCCCCGGCGAAACCAACGGGGCTGAGGCCTCCAACAGGCTCTTGGTACCCGAGGGTGGTGTCATCCTCGAATTGGAGCAGGCTACTGCTGACCTCCGTCAGCAGCTACAGAAGAACGCCCCTGACGCTCGCATTGGCCTTGATAATCGAAGGAGGGATCGGAGTGAGAACCAAGTTCCCCCTCCGGCCCCGGCCATCGATCTTCAGGCTGCCTTTGCGGCCTTTGTTCAAAACATGGCTCTCAATTCCGGAGCCCTCGCCTCTCAGGCACCCCTTCAGCCCTATACTGGAGGGAATGTTGTCAACCTACCACCACTCCCTCCTTTGTTCAACAACCCTCCCCCGGGGGTTGGCAATGCCGAGGGGATCATAGCACAGGATACCGCCTCCCAGGAGGCCCAATCCAGGGACAAGCGCCCCATGATGAAGGAGAAACCCCGAACCTCTGCACTTGAGAGGCTTGGGGGAGCTCCCGGACGCCGAGGGGTCCAAGACCGCCTCGGCAAGCAAGAATTCAGCAGGCCCCAGGAGAGTGGTGCCTCCGCTTCGGCTGCCGAGGGCGTGCCTCCCCCACGAGGCAAAGGCAAAGCCCTCCTCCATGCCGATGACGCCAGACACCAAATCAATCAGGCGCAATCCTTCCGGGCCAACTCCCAAGGGGCTGCCCCGAAGGATCCCAAGGACGAAATCATTGAAGCCCTCCTCCGTCAACTCGGAGAGAACCACCAGGCGCCCCCGACGGCTTCCACAACAAGGCCAGATCCGGAGTACGCTGACCTCCGGGCGCAGGTGGAGGAAATGAAGCGTAAGCTTGCCGAAGGCTCAGGCGAGCCCCTCGTCCAGCTCCGAACGAAAACACCCTTCACTCCGAGAGTGCTGGCGGCTAAAATCCCCCACAAGTACCGAGGGCAGGCCATCACACCATATAATGGGAAGACAGACCCCCAGGAGCACTACAGCCGCTATCAGAATAGCATGATGATGATGGGGGCATCAGACGAATATTTGTGTCGTTGGTTCCTTTCCACTCTGGAGGGGCCAGCGTACGATTGGTTCAACCAATTGCCTGAAGGCACCATAGACTCATGGCAAGAACTTGCCCGTCGCTTCCTAACACATTTCGCCGGGAGGCGCCGCACCAAGAAACATTTCTCCCATCTCCTAAACGTGAGGCAGCAGAAGGAGGAGAGCCTTCGGGATTTCCTGGAGCGATGGAGAACGGCTTCCATCGAAGTCGAGGGCACCGATGACAAAACACTTCTTGCCCTCTTCCAAACCGTCCTCCGGGGAGGAAGCTTCTCCAGGAGTCTCATCACTGACCCCCCTCAAGATTACACCAGAGCCCTTCAACGGGGGGATCGACATGCGGAGGCCGAAGATGTCGAAAGAAGCCGTCGGCAACCTGAGCCTGCACAAAGACCGGAGCCGAAGAATCGCACCGGAGGACCACCCCCTCCGGCGCAAAACAATGATCGCCCCCGGAATGGTCAAGCCAGGTCCGGGGGCAACTACAAGAATAATCCGAAGGTGTGGGCACAACCCACCGGCTTGGACCATCCACGCACCCCTCTGACGCATCCCATCAGCGTCATCTTGGATTACGCGGTGGATAGGGGCCTCGTGGAGCGTAGCTCTCACACACCCCTCGAGGTATACGCCATCGGCCCCAACGATCCCTATTGCCGGTTTCACCGTCGCCATGGGCATCACACCGATGAATGTCAACTACTCATGACGACTATTGAGAGATTGATTCAAGCGGGTCACCTGTCCGAATTCGTCAAAGGCCCTCATACTCAAGGACCCCCTCCTCACCAGGGGCAGCAGCCGAAGGCTAACACCTGGGTGAACCCAAACACAATCCCCTTGGGAAATCCTCAACGGAAGAAGCGTGAAATCGGAGGCCTCGACGAGGGAGAAGGCTCCCACCAGCAATACAAGCGCCACATCCACATGATCAATGGCGGCAACACTGGTGGAGATTCCACCAGCCAGAGAAAGAAGTGGGCTCAATCCCTCTACGTTGGGGAGGTCAACCACATGCCCCCAACCAAGAGGCCGAGGGGGGAGCCCATCTTTTTCACAGATGCGGACCTCCCCTCGGGCCCCCTACCTCACAGGGATGCCCTCGTCATCCGCACGGAGATCAACAACGCCATCATCCTCCGCACCTACATTGACACAGGAAGCTCTGTCAACGTAATGTATCTCACCACCTTCCGCGAACTTGAGCTAGACATGGGATCCCTTCAGCGGATCAAAACCCCCCTTTCAGGGTTCACTGGAGACAGCATTGACGCCGAGGGCGTCATCTCGCTCATGGTCGAGTTCGGCGACGGGGTCCACCGGGCCAAGCTCGAAGTGGAGTTCGTCGTCGTCAACCTCGACTGTGCGCATAACATCATCCTCGGTCGCCCCGCCCTCGAGGATCTGGAGGCCATCATCTCCATAAGGCACCTCTGCCTCAAATTTCCTACGCCAAGCGGTATCGGATACTCCCGAGGGGATCAGAAACTCTCCCGGGCTTGCTACCTTCAACTCACTAAGAAGGTTAGTAAGACTGAGCTTCGAATCGATACAATCACTACCGCCTTGGAGGAGGAAGAAGCCAGGCCGAGGGCGGAACCCGCCGAGGAGACTGAAGACTTGATACTCGATCCGGCCAAGC